GGGGGGGCTCTGTCAGGGTGGGCCTGGCCGCCGCCCCGAGCGTGGCCGGAGGGGCCGACTGGCTCCTGCCCCGGGCGGTGGGGCCGCCCCGCTGTCGGCTGCTCACCGGCTCCCGCTGGTCCCCAGCAGAGGACGGGACTCCCTCTGGTCGCGGGCTGGCTCTAGGTGCTGCCGGGGGGACGCCCGGGGCTTCGGGCTCGCTCTCCGTCTGCCTTGACGCGGATTTAACGCCCACTCTCCTCTTCATCCTCACCAGCAGCTGCGGGCAGTCTCTCTGACAGGAGGGGCTCCTGTAGAACCGTAACTGGGTGCAAAATGTAAAGAGGAAAAGAAAGACCCCGTCACAACAGAGCTGACGGCAAGCGGCCACCAGATCGAGGCCCCTCCGCGGCCTCACCCAGCGGTCGGCCCCGAGGCCTCTTGCGAGAAGGTCACAGTCCCAACAGGAAGCCGCGCGCTAGCTTCCGCACCCTCAACGCTCCCTCGCTTAGGACTCCCACGGCACCCGTGGGCAAGGACTACAAGTGGCCGGCTGGGGTCAGCGTCCGAGTCCGAAGAAGGGGGGCGTGGAGTTTGCAGATGGGGCAGGAGATGCGGCGGCTTTCGGAGCCCACGTCGGCTGGCCGCAGAATCGCGCGCCACCCCCCACCTCCCCGCCCATTCCCCCCACCTCCCCCCGCACCCCCCCCGGGGTGGGAGTCCCTGGCTCTGGGCCTCCAGGGGCCCGCTGAGCTGGGGAAGCACGCCCATTCGTTCAACCCTCGACATGCTTCCCAAAGTGCTTTTGGGGCTAGCACGGCCCCCAGACGCCCAGGGGACACTGCTGGCTCACCCAAAGGGGCCCGCCCACCCGCCTCCGGGGACGGCTTAGAGCCGCGGGGTCATGCGTGCGCACACACAGCCCCTGCGGACGCGTGGTCCCCGCCCCCGGGCAGCGGGGCAGGAGGATCCAGTGTTTCCCGGGCTTTATGGGGAGGCGCTGCACAGGCAGCCCTCCTTTGGGGGTGGACAGAACGATGCCTTCCCTTACATGTGCTGTGAAGCGGTGACCACGGCGAGTTTAGCTGATGCGCAGCATCTCACAGAGATACCCCACTAAAAGAAGCAAACTCAAAGACATAGGAAAAGGGGGCGAGGGTGGCAGGAGAAAGGAAGGAAAATAGGAAAAGATCCTTTCTTCCTTGTGAGGAGAACTCTTAGGACCCATTCTCCTACCCATTCCCGTTGCACCTTCCCCGCCCCCAAGTGTCAGCTGTGGTCAGCATGGGCTACAGAGCGTGTGTCTTTGAAGGAAACACCCCCGACACACTTGGCACCATCCTGAGCACTCTCCCCACGTTCAGTCTCAGTCGCTGTCACCAGCACCCAGAGGGGGACACGAGCACCCGACTCCCAAGAGGCGGTCCTGGGGGCTCCCGCCCCCCTCCAACCCCAGCACCCCAGAGCCTGGCAGCCCATGCCCCCCCGCAGGGGCGGGGGCGTCCACCGTTACCTTGCTCAGGACGTGGACGGGTGCCCCTCCGGTGAGAAAGTGGGTAAGGCCCACGGATGTGTGAACATCCTGGCACAGTTTGCTGAATCCATAGAGGTTGAGCCGGCGGACGAAACTCTTCATACAGTCCGTTTCAAACACTTTGTTGGGGCCACCCCTCTCCAAGATCTCCCTCTGAAACAGCTGCTCGTTGACGCCTATCCAAGTGCCATCGTTGTCCCAGCAAATGGTGCAAACTGGTCGTTGTTGAGGATTTCCCACAGCTTCTTGGGGCGGGGCAGGCAGAGGAGATGGCCCGCCCCCACGGACTGGGCGTCCTGGGTGGTGCGGGGCCTTTTGAACAGAGGCTCTTGGGGCAAGGCTCGGAAAGCGTGTTCCTGGAGCAGCAGCCTGAAGCCAGGGTCCCCAGCGGACACCGGCTGGGCCAGCGTGGCGGCAGGGGCGGCTGGAGGAGCGCCGCTCTCCCAGCCCAGGGCGGGAGCCGTGGCTTCGGCGGGGAAGGGCAGCGGCCCGCGGCCCCGCGCCCGGCCTGGTGGGTGACTCTCCTCCTCGCCGGCTGTGCTCAGTGGCAGCGCGTCCTGCCTCCTGGAGACCCGGGAGTGCGGCCTGGCCCGCAGCACCCCTTGGTAACAGTGCAGCTCGGGACACCACAGAGGGGCTCGGGGTACTTGGGGGTGACATCCCAACACAGCCAGCCGGGTTGACCTGATAAAGGGCCAGGCACACGAGTGACCTGTCAGTGCGCCAACGTTCTGGTCACTCACGGTCCCTTCACCGGGACAGCGGACGCTCGCCTGCCGCGTTAAAGCAACACGCCACACATTCGGGGCAAACCGCAAGCCGTCCTTGCGCCTTGCACCCCCCTCTCCCGGGCCCGGCCGACCCACACCGACGGGCCGCCTAAAGGAGGTCAGAGGTCATTCTCTGAGCCCGTGGGCCTCGAGAGCCCCGAACAAGATGCACACTTTCAAGCCCGGAGCAAAGGCCCGGGGGGCGGGCCGGGGGCGGGGGGGGGGGGGGTGGGGGGGGGGGGGCGTCCCCGGTCCAGGGTGCGGGCCACATGGTCCTTTTAGCATTGTCCCAGCCAGGGCGCTGAGGTCCTCCCCGGAGACCCTCCCAGTTCACCCACGCCCTGGGTCCCCAGAGGCCACATGGCCGACTGCTGCTTAGGGGACTGCGTTAGCCAGCTGTCCCACCGCCCCCTTGCAGAGCGAGGAGGAGGAGGAGGAGGAGGAGGAGGAGCGGGAGCAGCGGGAGGAGGCCTTCTCCTTCCTCGCCTCTCGTCAGCCTGCACGCGGCCCCCTCCCCAGCCCGCCGCCGCCGCCTCCCGGGCTGACTCCCGGGCCCGCTGGGACAGGCCAGGAGCCGCTGGCCCCACACTGGCTTACTGTCCCTTCCTTGACCGACCACGGCAGGGACACCCGCCCCGGTCGGTGCCCAGGGCTTGAGCTCCGCCATCCTTCTTTGGGCTGTGGGGCTGGGAGCTTCAGTGAGAGGCGGCCTTGCAGAGAAGCCTCTCTAGCACGTTCTCCCCACGTGCAGGGCCACCTCCCCCAAAGCACCCCCTCCCCAACTCCATTCTGGGCATGGAACTCGATGATCTTCCAGAGATTTCCATGAAGCAGAAATGCCTCCAAGCTTGAGGCTATTTTGTCTGAAAGAGAGTCTGTGGCCTTTGGCTCCCTGCAGGGCCTCGGTCCACCCCCAGCAGGTACAAACCGTGGGCTGAAACGCCGCCTGCGTTGAGTGCCCGGTAAAATGCAGGCACAGCCAGGGCCGGCCAGACAGAAATCACAGGGTACTTTATGCAACCGGAAGCCGTACTCAGCCGCTGGTGTCACCGGGCGATGCCCCAGGGCCACTAAAATGCCCATTGCGCGTTTAGACTGCCTTGGGCCTCGAGAATACTCTCGTAAGGCTCCCAAGCTGTCGCGGTGTTGGCAGGGTGTTCCCCAGCCACTGGTCGAGTCTCCAGGGTGTCCGTCTTTCCCTCCGCACCCCGTACGTTCAGGCTGTGGCCGAAGACTCATTAGAGATGTTCACCCACCCCCCAGGCGCCTTGGCTGCCGGTGGCCAGTGGAGGGTGTTTTCATGCTGGCTGAGAGAGTTCCAGTGGCCCGGCCGACACCTAAAGTAAGATGCACACAGTACCATGGAAAAGGAGGAACCAGTTTATTGAACAGCTGCAGGGAGCAAAAATAGTGGATTGCGCTACATTTGTTACACACCAAGCAGGAAACGCTTTGCCATCCCGATCTCCTCCCCTACCCCCCACCCCGCCGGCCCGCAGGCTCGAGGCCGTGCCAGGTGGTCTTGTGTGTGCTGGACACCAGTTGAGCCCGGCTTAGACATGGCAGCAGCTGCCCGCGTTCAACCCTGCCCCCTTGTCCGGGGTGACAGCGTCAGTGCTCCTTTTCCCTCCTGGAACGAACGGCCCTTAGCCTGGAGCGTCTGCTTGCTTCTGCTTTGCCTCCTTGGGCCATGGCACTCCCAGTTCAAGGCCCGGGCCCAGCCGGCACAATTTCTGTTGTGGACAGACAGACACGACGCCTCAGACCTTAACAAATCCACCCTTCCAGTGCCTGTTTCTAGTCTCAGCCACTTTGTCCAGTGTTTCCAGCTTCAGGTCACGCCCGGTGGTTGTCTGCCAGCCAGTATTCCCAGGGTGCAGGAAAAGCCCCGAGCGTTTCTTGCTTCCTGTGGCTGTTCTGGCAGTGGCAGCCACGGTGTGTGTGGAGGATTCCAAGGGGGAAATGCTGATGTCCCATGAAGGCATGACAGCCCCGCACCCCGGGCACGACAGGTGTGCCCGCAGCATCTACGTCTGCAACAGAACACGTATGTCTCCAATACAAGCTCGTAAAAAAATACTTTAACAGAATATACTGTACAGAACTAGGATTTGACACGGTATATTACAAGGCTAAAAGATTTGTATAAATACTATACAGGCACAGAGTCACTCCATTAGAAAGGGCTCACCGAGGGGGCCGGGAACACCTGCCGTCAGCATTGCCCGAAGAGAACGGACTCCCGCCGCCGGAACACAAACAGCAAGGACGGCGTGGGCGCGCGCGGTGCCACCGCGGTGTAGCTATACTTCCTCCTGACTACGCCCCGACGGCAGACTCTAAGCTACGTGGTGAGGCCAGCCTGCTTCAGATAACGTTTCCAAAGAACACTTTTGATGGGAACTGTAGCACTTTGAAAACCAGTTCCTTCCCTGGCCTAATTAGCCATCCCTAACAGAGCCCAGCCAGCTCCTGAGGCACCCGGCCGGAGGAGGGGATCGCTCTCTCCTTCTCGCACGCGCTGCCCCCATCATGCCCATAGCCGCTGACACCCACCCCCCCAGCCCACACTGCGCGTGCCCGTCCCCTGCCACGTGTGCGTCCGTCACGGTGAGTCACTGGTAGGTGTTGAGTGCAAACAAGGCATGAGATGGAAGTCCCCGGAGCCCCAGCTCCAGTCCCAGTTCCGGGTGGGGAAACAAAGAGGCAGAGGAGGCTGGGAGACAGCGAGCGTCCTGGTCCCCCTGCGTTCCGTTCCGGGGGTGGCGTCTAATCTGGCATTTCGATATTTAATTTGGGAGGCGGGAGGACGTATTTCCCAGGGCTCTGGGTGATAACCACCCTGGTCTTCTTCCGAAACATTGGAGCAATTTTAGGAGGTTCTGGAACTGGGGTTTCTTCTGTTTCCTCATTATCTTCATGATGGAGGTCATAGGAAATGTTTCCATATTCTCTCAAAAACGGGAAGATTTCAAGCAGAAACTGACAGAAATCCTTGCGAATCCCAAACCACCCTGAAAAGGAAGGACGTACTTTTTTAAACACTGGCCTCCACTGAATTCCTGTCACTTTACTTTCCTGATCATGAAGTTTTATTCGTACAACGTAATGCTTCACCCCGATGCCTCAGAAACGAAGGCCGCGCACGGCCTGGACACCCACGAAGGGCAAGAAGAAAGGCCCTGCAAGCGGGCTGCCCAGACCAGCAGCGACCACAGGGCGCGCTGCAACCTTGCCGGAGTCAGGCAGCGGCTGCGGCACGGGTGCCCACCGGCACAGACCTCCCGGGCCCTCTGACGGAGGCTCCGGGGCACAGGCCTGCTCTAGCACCTCTCAGACGGGCGCCTGCGGCATCAAGGCCACGTCACCATACTGTGACATATGTGCCAAGTATGTCAACCAGAAAAGGGACTTCTGTCAGCATCTGGCAGCCACGCAGGTCCAGGCTGGCAGGCAGCCTGAGCTCCCGGGGCCCCCTCAACGCTACTTCTCTGGGGCCTGCTCCTGCTGTCTGTAGCACGGGACCGTCAGCTCAGTGCTGGCTCTCCCAGGGCACACCGCCCCCACTGCCCAGCCTCCTGGCTTCAAGAATGGCACGCTCTGGCACTACCTGCAAAGAGGCTTACAGTCTAGTAAGGAAGGAACCGTTGTCAAAGATCGCTTCAAAACTGAATGTGCCATCGTGCAGGTGGGGAGGAGAGAGGACAAGCAGGTCACCACTGACAAGCCACAGTGATGTCAGCAATGTCCCTGGGGAGAGCCAGAAGGACACAGAACCGAAGAGCAGTCCCGGGGTTTGGTGGGTGACATGGATTTTTATCTAATCCTTGGGAGCCCCCGGGAAGCAGGGCTAAGAGGCTACTGACCACGCTCAGCCCTACGTCAGATGGCAGAGTGCACCATTAGGGAGGTCATGGTACAGGGCACGGAGAGCAAGGTTGACAGCACACCCTTCCCTTGGAAGGTTCCAGGTCTTCCTCGGACGACCTCCTTAACTGGGACCCTCGGGCTCATCCTTTCACAGAGTGGGGCCGCACACACGCACACACGCGCGCGCACACACACACACACACACACACGCACACAGGTCAAGGGCTTCTGAAGTGCTGAGTACGTACAGTGGTTTCCTCCCTTCTGTCCAAATGTGGTTGCCATCAGAGTGATCAAGGAAAGCCAAAGAGGGACAAATATCGGGATACAAGAGAATGCGTTGTGGCCGTCCAGTTTGTGAACCAACAGGATCTGAGGAAAGAGAAATAGCTGAAGTTCTATTGATAAAGCATCTGAGGATGGATGATGGCTGAGGTCAGTCCACCCTTCCCTTGTCAGGTCTCATAAGGGGGAAGGTCGGCTCCGCAGGAGACTCGAGAAACCCTCTACTCTGGGGGGAAGCGCGCCGTAAACTCTCATATCCCTCTTTAGGACGAAGCAAAATCTGTCCACTTGGGAAGTTTCCACCACCAGGCTTGTTGTGGGAAGCTCCTGCTGGTGTTCGTTCTAAAGCGTCCACAGTGCCCAGTCTCTGATTCTGCACGGAACTCAATATGAAAACCCACCAACTCCCTCTTCCTAGACGTAGACCCATCAACATACGCCGACGCGTCACGGCCCCGGAGACTCACTTCTCACCCACTTCCGCAGAAGAAAGGACGCTCTAACTCTACCGCCACCCTCTCCATCCCTCCGTCCTCGGCGGTGCTTCTTGAGGGCCGGCTCAGGGAAGGGTGGGGCTCAGGGCCTGAGGAGTTCTGCTCTCGAAGGCTTACCTCAAAAGTCAGGAGAGGCACGACGATGGTCATCCAGCTCAGTGCCATTGTTATGTGTGTCCTTCGCTGTTCTGCAATCACATCCATGGACCGCAGGAACAGGACAGACCACACGATGTAATAGAGGACCACCAGGCACAGAAAGGACATGAGAATCCACAGAGGGACACACACGACCTGAGGGAAGGAGACAAAGAAGTCGGTCGGGTCTGTGCCCAGCACCTGAAGGCGGGCCTAGCCACGCCCTTGGCGGACGTCCGCAGGTAGGACGGCGCCGGCCACCCCCGCAGCCCAGCTCGGCGGCACTGAGGACGGCCTGGGGCTGCCGCCGCTCCGGGACATGCTCTGCCACGGGCCACGCTCCGGGTGGAGGGCCCAGCAGCTGCCCTTCTAAGGCAGGACCTCACTCGGCCCACACCTGGCTCTGCCCCAAGGCAAACAGGGCGGCCTGCGCCCCCCCGCGCGCTTGCCCCACCTTACCCTGACACCCTGCCCCCCCCCCCCAGCTGTTTGCCTGCCCGGCCTGATGCTGCCCCCCGCTCACGCGCGCGCGGGACACCAGGAGGGCTCTGCCGCCCGGTCCCTGCCACCTCGCCCAGGCGGCTTCCACGCCTGCGGCTGCCGCACCACAGACAGCTTGCTTCACTCCCACACGAGCGCACGTGAGCCCCTGGGGCCTCCCCAGGCTTCCCTGCGCGGTCTTCCTCCCTCCTGCACTGCCCCTTGGATCCGTCTGGCATCCGTCTCGCTATCAAGCAGTAAATGGACTGTTTTCCCTTGGTAGCCAGGTCTGTGACTTTTCACACACGCATGTGCAGAGCTGTGTATCCCCAGGCAGGACACAGGACAGCTGCTTTACCCCACAGGACTCCCTCGTGCGGTCCTTCACGGTGTCATACCCTCACCCCAGCCCCAACGCCTGGCACCCACTGACCCATGCCCTCTCGCTACGCTTGGGTTGTTTCAAGAGCATCCCACGGCACCGCCGACTGAGGCTGCCTTCTTCCCTCAAGCCACAGTGTCTGTGAGGCTCCCCGCCCCCTTGCTGCGGGTGACGACAGGCTGTTTCTTTTTATTGCCAAGTGGCATTCCAGAGGATGGATGCGCCACTGCCCGTGCGTCCAGCACCCGTGGAAGGAAACTGCAGTGCTTTCCCGCTTTTGGCTGTCCCGAATAAAGTTGCTACCAACACTCAGGCACGGGTTTTTGTCCGGCCCTACAGCACCATTCCTCTAGGGGACATACCCTGCATTGGCCCTGCTAAATCATATATCAACTCCATGTTTAACTTGCCATGAAACGGCCAAACTGTTTTTCGGAGCCATGAAACGGCCAAACTGTTTTTCGGAGTGCCTCTACAACTCGGCATCCCCACCAGCGACGTGCAAGTGTCCCCGTCTCTCCCCACCCTCCCCTGCACTCCGCTTCGTGTTTTAGCTCTGCCTTCTGAGGAGTGTCATCTGGGACCTCATCCTGACCTTGATTTGCCCTTCCCTACTGGGTAATGATGTCCTGTCGTCCTGTCCGTGTGCTTATTTGCCATATGTATATCCTCTTTGTGAATTGTCTTTTCAAGTCTTCTGTCAATTTTAAAAATTAGGTTGTTTGTTTTATGAGTTTTGAGAGTTAAGATGTTTTGGATACAAGTCCTCGTTTGGACACGTGCTTTGTGAATATCTTCTTTTACTCTGTGGCCTTTTCATTCATTTCATTTCAATTCTGAGCTGCTTTTATGGACCTTGTTGCTAGTGCCACTTGTAGGGACTCCTGATCTAACCCCAGGTTCCCAAAGATTTTCTCCTATGCTTTCTTCAGACAGTGCTTCGGTTTTCCAATTTGTTCTTAGAACTATGACTTGAGTTGGTGTGATTTTTAATCCTCTCAAGTAGCCTGGAGTTCCTGATGGTAGGTTTTGCTGTACAATCTATGGAGGGTCTCTTCCCAGGGCCCCTCCTCATTTAGCAGCGCTCACTTAGCCACCCTCCCCCCGCCCCGGGTCATAGCAGCCTCCCTCAGTCTCTCCTGATCACTGTGAGAAGCATGCCATCAGACTGTTCCATCTGCTGACTGGGGCTGGAAAAACCTCTCTGCTCACCTACAAAAAACACTTATAATTCATCTTTTTTTTTTTTTTTCCTGATTGCACCCTATACTAAAATGTTTGGTCTTACTTAGATTTCTTTCTTCCACATCACAACAGAAAATCCTGAACCCGATTACCTTTCTCCAGATACACCATCCTAAAGATGGAGGACAGGTACCCGAACATTTTGTATTATGACTGTTTTATCAAAGACTTTGGGCAGAGATGATGAGTTCTGCCTTTATTCATTATGGAGGTGACTATGTTCCCTTATTTGCTTCCCTGTCACCAAATGAATATTTTCTCTTTTTGCTACACTTGGTACTTTTTTTTTTTTAAGGTAAACCATGTTCATAACAGAAAATGTCTTATGTGCAAAAGTACACATCAAGCAGCGGTGGGAGTGGGGACCCAAAACCCCAGCGCGACCTCACCTCCCAGAGGCCACGCGCCCCCTCTGTGTCGGTTCTCACCCGCCTTCTAGGCATTCATAGCAGGAAGTCCAGGCCCTCCTGGCTTCTCTGTAGCTTGCCATGAATATATAATGACATGTGTATGTACCTATACCCACCCCCCCTTCCCGCCCCCTTCTATCCAACTACGCAGACGATTTCAACCAAACAGCCCGGAACTGAAGCCACAGGTTCCGAGCAGGAGTGTAGTACAGTGGCACAAGTTCTTTTTTTGAAAAGCAAGTTGGGAGTGCAGTCTGTCTTCCAAAATCTCAAGTTCCCACCCTCTGGCCCAGTAATACTGTCTCTGGAGTCCTTTCTAAGAAAATAATGAAAAAAATCAGGCAAAGATTTTTAGGCACAAAAATATATGTTACATCATGATTTATAATCACACTGGTAATCAACTTCAATATTTGGAAGGGGATGTTTGGTAAATGCATTTGAAGAATACTGCATCAATTAAACTTTAAAAATTATGTTTATAAAGACCTTTTATTGCCAGGGGAAAATGCTCATGATGCATGAGGATGAGAGCGCAGCGCACAAGACCGTGCGTGCAGCACAGGCTCGGCTACCTTCACGGAGCGGTAACACCCGGCCCAGGAAACCCCGCACACTGGCCGTGCCCTCTCCCAGTGGGTCACGGGTGACTATCATTCCATCACCTAAGCTTGTCTGTCTCTTCCAAGTTTTCTACAATGAACACAAATTACTTTTATAATTAAAAAAAGAAAAGTTTATTTAAGGATTTAAAAAGTTACATACAAGCCAGGGCCAGTGGATGATCTTGTCCAGTCTTAAGGCAATGAATATAAACTGCAGGATGTTGACAGAACACAGTATTTCTAACTAAAAATGAAGAGAAGAATCAGTTAAGCAAAGTAAAAGTTGTATTGAATACTGCAATTATTTGGTTAACACACTAAAAGGCAATGCAAATTATAATACAGGAAAAGTCTGATGAAGTTATACTGGGACCTCCTGATTTTCTGCCCCGGGGAGCGAAGCAACGCAGCGACAGCAAGAAACGTGCCTGCCGGTCTCCTGCCCCGGCCCCTCTGCCTCGCGGCTGCCTGCCCTTTTTGCTCTACCAAACAATAGCCTTGTTTCCGGGCTCGCCGGGTAGAGGCAATCCGTGGCGGACAGCGCAAGCGTCCTTCCCACCCCTACCCACAGACATCTCTATTCCATACCTGCACTTCTTTCTTGTACCCAGGACTCAGCTCTCCACCCCTTCCTTTCTGGCTCCTTGAGGACCTTGTCACATCAAGACATCAATTACAGATTCTTTACTGCATCGCTAACCTCTCCTGTCCCACTGATCCCTCCCAGAAGCACAGACACAAGTTCAACTCATTCCCATTAAACACAAAAGAGCCCCAAGACCAAATGAGCCCCTCCCTCCCTGGAGCCAGCGGCCGCTCCCAGCCCTAGCACTTTGTTACCATCCAGCTCTGTGAGACAGCACGTATGCTCCAGCCTGTGGCCTCCCCTGCCATTCCAAGCTCCCAGCACTGCGATCCGGCCTCCAGCCCTGACCACTGGCAGCTGCTCTGTCAAGGTCGTCAGTAACCTCTACGGCATCAGACCACCTGTGTCAGCTCATCCTACGGGGCATCTGTGTGGCATCTCTTTCCAGGAGCCCGGCACAGTCTCGCCCTCCTCCTGGTGCTCTTGCAGCTCCTTTTCAGTCTCCTCCTCTCCTTGAACCCTGATGCCCCCCAGAGCCTTCAACTTGGTCTTCTGTCCCCACTAGAGAGACACGGACACAAACACACAGGCTTCCCCTCGCTCACCCTGCCGTGTACCCAGCCCCAGCTTGGGTGGCCTCCTGCTGACTGTTTCACCCAGCTCTGTCTCTGACTGAGCCTTCCTGCTGTGGCCCAGACCCAGCTCTCCTAGAGATGCTTCAGCCAGAGCCAGTCCCAGACTGAGTCCATTAGCCCCTCACACCTTTACCCCGTCCCCCTCCCTTCCAGAGCCTCCCGCCTTGCTGTAAGGCACCGCGGCGGCCCAGTGACCCAAGCCACGCCGCCAGCAAGCACCATCTACTCCTTTTCCCACTCTTGCATGCTCCGTCACCACGCCCTGTGCTCTCTACCAGCCCGACGACTACTGCCTCATCAGGCCTTTCCCTCTTCACCAGCCACCCCCCCAATGCCTCCAACAGCCCCCTGACTAACCTCCCAGCCTCTAGTCTGGAAGGCTCTATGCTCCCAAACACCCCCCAGGCCGTCTTCCTTCTGGCAGCAGCACTCGCTACTCTTCCGCGGCTTGCCACTGCCTACAAAATGAAAATCACAGGAAGCCGTCTGATCTGGCCCAGAGCTTCCCCAGAGTTCTCCGTTCACAGGGCATTTTGTGAGGGAGCAATTCTTTCCGAGGCCTCTGGGCTGAAAGAAATCCTTAACAGTTCCACTGGGTTAAGTAATTAGATCTAAACTTAGTATTTATGTCCTAAGTAGCCATCTAAAAAAAAAAAATAATAACTCCCATATATCAAAAGAAAAATATGATTTTTACTTCATTCCTAAATAACCACGACTAATTCCTACAAGGACGTGTGTGCCTGTTGGGTGCCACACCATTTCTTAAGACACTGCCATCCTCATCAGCTGTTCTCCAAACAGTTTTGCACAGAACGACCTTCTCCTCACAGCAACTGCCAACAACCCAGCTTCTTCTCCAATATCATCCAAACTAATGTAGGGTGACCTAATAATAAAACTGTAAACTACTTGGAGGTATCCCCACAGCTGGTTAGTATCATCGCTTTTCCCTCCAAAATGTCCAATATCCCATGGTGCCCTGGGAGTTCACTATGGCACCCTGTGGCAGCTCAGCGCATGCCTGAGGACTGAGGATCTGGCCCCTACTTGGCCCAGTTCCTCTCTACAGCCTTCCTTTCCCCCAACTCCCACCACTCTCTCCTTTCCACTTCATGCTCCGGGCAATTTTTTTTTTATTGTGGTAAAATACACACAGCAGAAAACTTACCGTCTTAACTAACCATCTTTAGCTGTACAGCTCGGCGACAGCACTAAGTACATTCATACTGTTGCGCGACTGTTACCAACAGCCATCTCTAGAAGGCTTTGCATCTTGCAAAACCGTGCTCCAGTCACATTGGAGTCACCAGAGTTCACTCAGCGTGACAGATTTTCTCCTGCCTCTACGCCTTTGTATGTGTGAGTCCCTCTGCCTGGAAAACATCATCCCCTACCCCACCTGCAGAGGGCGCCCTGGCAACCCCCACTCTTCCTTCATGTCTCTGTGCAAGCCTATCCCCAGGCACCCCCTAGCAAACGTAGTACTCTTCCTCCTGGGACATAAGCGCCAAGAGGGAGCTCGACTCTGGACATGGCGTTTCTTCCCCTAGGTAGGAACACCCAGTGTGACTACATGAACGACTTAGTTTTTGTAATTCTGCATTAGGAAAATATGGTTTCATGCCCAATGTAATCCTGGCCCTTGTATATACTTTTACTTTTTAAGAAACAAAGTTCCAAATTTTTACATGTATTTTAAACTTCCTCCTCAGCCCCTGTCCAGCCACATTTAGATGGCTCTCTCGGTGCTTTTCGATCTGGGCGACACGGCCCCTGCCCCAGGAAGAGGCTAGGAATGGTGCAGGGGTGCCCCCGGGTCTCTCACAAACTTATGGGGAGAGCCTCTCCACCAGCATTTAGTGAGCAGAGGTCCGGCAGAAGCGTCCCACAACGCATAAGACAGTCCTGTTCAACAAAACATTTCCCATCCCAAAGGCCAACAGCACATGTCCCTCCCCCACTGAGAAATGTTGAGCCAAATAGGGAATACCTGGAATGTGTGATCTCAGTGACTGTTTTATGTAAGCTTTCGCAAATCATTTTTAAAGCTTGGTTTTGCTTCATCTGCGCAGGTAATAGAGAAACCATGCAAAGCGACAGGTGGAAATGGTGCCTTTGACCAGCACAGAGATACAGAGTCGGGCGATGTTGGAAAAGGAGTCCAGAGCTGGCATCAAAACCTGAGTTCGAGCACGTGAATTCAGGAGGCGACAGCATGGAAGTGGCAGCAGAGACAGGAAGTAAGCAAGATCATCCACAGTGTGGATCACAAGTATGCCCAAGTGAGGACAGAAAATGCCCAAGCCTAGAATCCTAAGCAGCAACAAAGGAGCCAAAGCAGAGGGGGGCCAGTCTAGTCAAAGGCCCAGGAGTGACGTGGCTGGTGGCCAGAAAAAAGGGACTGGAAGGGCCCACTGGATCTGGCCAGTGTCCTGGGAGTGGGGGAGCTGAGTGGGGAGCCAGAGGTCAGAAGGGCTCTGCTGGAGGGAGCCTTTCTGTGAACGAAGAGAAAGGCACAAGAGCCAGACAGAGGACTGAGAAGCTTTTGCTGCTGTCGTTTTGCTTTCTCTTTCAGATGTGAGAGCCCAGTGTTACCAGACAAGAGCGTGGATGGACGCAGGAACAAATGCTCAGAGGAACTGGAAAGGGTGAGGGTCTGCCTGCAGCGGGAAGGAGCACCATGCAGAGGCCTGACAGGTACCAGGTTGCCCGGGGACAAGGAGGGTCTCTGGGCTTCCCTCAGATGGCCCTCCCTCCATGGTCGCTGCTGTGGGGCCGGCCATGCTCCCCTGTGCCCGTGCCCTCTCCCCGGTGGAGACTAAGCGTCCTGGCACTCAGGGCCCAGGGTCCCGTTCCATTGGGTTCCCACAGAGCCTTGCTCCCTCACCAGCCCTCTCTACGGGAGCCTTCCAGCCCCACTGCCACTCTCCTTCCTCCACTTGTTACTCATCCAGCTCAAAACCAAGCCTCCCTAGCATCCAGTTCTCCTCTCGCCCCATCTGTATAGAGCTTTGGACCCTCAGCTTCCATGCGGTTCGGTGTGCAGGCTCTGGAGTCGGGCTGACTGACATGTGATCCTGGCCCCGGCCCTGCCCCTTAACAAATGGCCAGGAACAAATCCCTTCCCCTGTCATAAAACAGGGGTGGCTGCTGCATCTACTTCACGGGGTTGTTGTGCATCTTCACCAAGACACTACTGCCTGGGAAGAAACCAGCCCGGTGCCTGGCGCACAGTAAGTGCTCAATAAATGTGACCTGTCATCATTTTCCATACTGGTATTAGTACTGCTCACACCGCTTTTGGGTTCAGCTGCGTCTCCCCTATGTCGAGGCACAACGGGCTCGAAGCGAACCAGAGAGCAGATGAAGTGCCAGATCACGGGGTCTGCGGTGGCGTGGCGCTCGCTCTGAGGTGCCCGTGTGCCTGGGCTACACAGGACCGCTTCCTGAAGCAAGCACGAGTCTAGGTATTGCTGTGAAAGGACTGCCTTTCAGTAAAGACTATGCTCGAGACTGTGGGTGGTTGCATCAAATGAGTTAGAAAGCCTGAGGTTTCTTGGAGAGGACGAAATTCTGTTTCAAGACGCCAGCATCAACTCGGGCTGCATCTTCAGCCTACCGGTCCGCCCTATGAATTTCAGACTTGTCAGCCCTACTGGTCCATGAGCCAGATCCTTAAAATTAATCAATTGCACTCTCTCTCCCCCTCCCTCCCTTCCTTCCTCCCTCCCCCCTTTCCCCACCTCTCCTATTGGCTCTGTTTCTCAGGAGAAGCCTGACCAACACCGGGGACTAGGGAAAGCCATGGAGCTGGATGGAGCCTGCGTTCTAAGTCAAGAAAGAGAACCATGATTATTTCCATTAGCTTTTGTTTCCTTACATACCATAATCTAGAGTTACAGACTAATCTCTTCCTAACAAAGGGCAAGAAACGTACATTACAATAACAGACCAAAAGATTTTACTTTTTAAAACATTCTTGAATATATGAAATCTCACCTCTAGTGACCTGTCATGTCGAAAGCCCCAAACACAAGCTGCAACGGACACCGGGGAGACAAAGAACAGCGGCATGAAGACCAGAAGCCAGAAATGGCTTCCTCTTTCAATCCTGTCACAGACCAGAACTTCAAACATCAACAGGAGCAAGTGGATGCCCACTGCAATTAACATGGCTTTAAACTCCACACACGTTTCTCCTTCTGCTCTAAAAAGGGACATCAGAGGAAGAAGAAGAAAAATACTCAGTTCAGAATCTCCAAAACAGGCAGGCAGTCCAGGGCAAATATCAACAAAACTTATATTGATACTATGAACAATATTTATAAATCGAACAAAAAGCAAAGGAAGTTAGGTAAAAAGCGAACTTACACTTAATCTTTAATAGGCAATCTTTCAAACGCCAAAGAACTACTACATGACAATAAATGAACATTACAATCAAACCAGACAAAGATTTAACTGGATAACGACATTCTCAGAAGTGACAGCCAGAGTTATTACTGCCCTGACAGTAAACATAAATGCTTGTGTTCAAAACTTTAAACTACTCCCAAGATTATTCAAGCTGATTGCTTCTACTACTAAAAACGGACAAACATCCCTTAAATCTCATGATCCTCATCTCTCAACAAATTAAAAACCATGTAAATCATATTTCATGCAATACTATAAAAATAACTAGCTTTATGAATAAGTGTGGGTTATATTTCAAGAAAATATAGTAACTATTGTTAGGTGCTATTTTAAAAATGCCGATAAAATTATGAACGTCTTTTTATTTTCCTTTCTATTCCATGAGGATGAATTAACACCTGCAGATGAAAGAGAAGGAAGAGCAGTTAAAACTGTTTTTAAACAAAATCAGGTTAATTAGCTGTTTAAGTACCATGCAGGAACTCATCAGATTAACAACTGAAAAATAATTAGGCCGCTAAACAGGGAAATGCTAAAAAATGCATGTGGAAGGCCTACAGTGTTTCATTCAAAATACAGATAAACATTTATGATGTATCTTCTAGGTGATAAATATACCTGAGGTTAGGACAGAGAGAAAATGAAGCCAGTGGTCACCTGTACAGGACCCACCAACATTCCACCAAAGGACCACCCCTGCACACTCACTACATTCAACTACACACACACAGTTCCTTTCCTCGCTCTAAAAATCTTAAATTAAACCAACAGGGCAAAGCTCAAATAGATTCTCAATATCAATTAGTGGAACCTAAAATGTTTAGGTATTTAACTTTTCATTCTTTGAGTCATAAATATTAGGTATCTGAAAATATCTCATAAAAAAGAAAAGATTTGCCAGCTGAACAGGTAATCTTAAAAAAGAAAAAAGGAAGTCTAAGGACCTTAAAACAGCTACACACAAATGTCCCCCATCTGCCAAGGCTCTCTGTAGGACTATTTTAAAGTTCCTAGCTATGCGTGTGGCAATGTATGTGACGTGGGCTAATCAAGATTGAAACACCTGCACTTCTTGCACGTGAGCAGCTGCCCACGTGGCCTTCCCTCCCCGTCTTCCTGCTGAGGGTTGAGAACAGCCCCTCAAGTCTCCCTTTTCCCTTTCTGAAGTGCCAGCTTCTGAGAGGGAGAAGAGACTCTCTGGGCCCCAGCAGCACTAGGCTGCACACCGGAGCTGAGCCAACTCCGGGAACCTGAAAGGGCTGCAGCAGCCGAGAAGAAAGGCACAGAGTGAAGGTAAAGCTTACCCCTCTGCCTGGCCCCCAAAGGCTCTGCTCTCCTTCACAGCATCTGGGCCTCATCTTGCCCTGTCTCAGCGACATACTGTTTCCTGGCCAAGCTACCCTCCCAACACACATACTGCTAACAGTCCTAAAACCCCAGGACTAGGAGATTGGGACAAGGGGAACCCCAATTCCAGGACTGAACTGGAGACAGATATATCCCTGATGATCAAAGCCAGGCTTCTGTTTTATAGAACTGCTCCTGCAAACATGATAGTTTTATACTTCCTAGCCCAGCATGGTACAACAGTTCGATATTTTGGATGCATTTTCTATTACGTTGGCTTTTGTGGGCTGGCTAGGATCTTAAGCACCTGAAACGACACTGCTTTTATTTAAAAATGCATATCAAACCCCTAATTTTTAAACTACTTAGAAGAGAACTCAGTTTGCCTATATTATAGTTCTTACAAAACCCCAGATAGGCTGAAAAAAAAATAGTCCTTAATCAAAAGTGAAAAACAAGATATTGCTCCCTCAGGGTAGAGACCAGTGGGTTTTATAAAGCAGTATTACCGATATTGGGGATTTCGTGCCCAGACTCCAGTTCCAACTGAGGCTCCAACAATGACCATCAACTTCCACAGCCATATTGGAGCAAAGACAGCCCAGTAACTCCACTGAATGATGCCATCCAGACGAAGGGCCAGCAGCACAGAGAACAGCAGGAGACAGGCATAGATGAGGAATTTACTAGGAGAAAAGTAAAATGATTAAAGATGACTCACTTTTACAACTATGTGATACTGAAAGGGAGAGTCATAACAGCAGTATTTTTGAGCACGTGTAAAGAGTCACTAATTCAACAATCATGTATTGAAAAGCTCTATGTAGTAGACATACTGTGTTAGGGGATCCTGGAAACATAAAGGAGACTAAAATAAACGTTCCCTGCTTTCCAGGGCTTTCTGGTAGGAGGGAGGCCACACAGAAACATAGAATTTTAATACAGCCTATGGTGCGTGCCTGAATGGTGAGCGTACAGAGCGTGACGGGAGCCCAGAAGAACAAATCTGGGTTCTGTCTGGGGGCACTAGGAAGCAGAGAAGTGATGCCCCTGGAACTGGTTCCAGAAGATACACGGAAAGCTGCCAGGCAAGAAAGCTGAGAAGAGGAAGCATTCCAAGCAGAAGGAACGAGATGTACCAAAACATGGAGACTGAAAAAGGCTGACATGTTTAGGATACGGTCAGGTTTTGTCACTGGCTAATTATTTGATTCTATTTTTAAAAAGATATGGCATTTGTAATCTGCTGTGTTCAGATACAGTAACATTTTAGTACCTGTATTATACTTTCTGTGGCTGAACAGATTATATACACACACACACTCACATTGCACATAAAAGGGACTTCCTGCAGAGGATGTCCTTAAAATATTAATTAGAAATTACACTGTTGAGGACTTCTAGTTCTAGCTTTGATGAAGTAAGAGGAATGGAGCTTTTCTTCCCACCTTAAACAATAAACTGGACAAAATATAGGAAACAAGAGTTTTCAGATACTGGACAACAAAGGCTGTGTCCAGCAAAGGACTGTGATGACAGGAAGGAAAGAAGGAAAGAAAGAAAGGAGGTGAGTTTAATTACTGCTCCAGCTTACTGCCTAGAGGCAGTTCCTAGGACCAGCAAGAAGGTGTAACACCCAACCCTACTGACGATTACATGAAATGTAAATGGTTTACCAGTTAAAAGACAAAGACTGTCAGATTGGATTAAAAAGCAGGACAACTATATGCTATCTAAAAGAAACCCACTTCATCTGTCTATAAAATCACAGATTAAAACTAAAAGGACAGAAAAAGTTATACCTAGCAAGCACTAACCAAAAGAAACCTGGAGTGACATACTAATATGTTTCAGTCTTCTACTGTTGCTCTAAGAAATCACCACAAACTTAGCAGGTTAAAACAATACAACTTTATTATCTCACAGTTATATATGTCAGAAGTCCAGACAAGCTTGGTTAGTTTTGCTGCTCAGATGCTTATAAGGCTGAAATCAAGATGTCAGTTGGCTGGCCTCTTATCAAGGGATTCTGGGAAGAATCTGCTTCCAAGTTCATTCAGGTTGCTGGCAATTTGGTTTCTTGTGGATGTAGGACTGAGATCCCAGTTTCTTCACTAGCTGTCAGCTTGGGGCTGCCCTTCAATCCTAGAGGTCTCTCTCTGATGAAGCCTTTGCATCTCGAAGCCAGCAACAGCATATTGAATCTTTCTCACACGTAGGCTTCTTCTGACTTCTCCTTCTACCACATTTCTCCTGCTTCCAGCAAAAGTTCTCTGCTTAAGAGCTCATGTGATTAGACTGGGTCCACCTGGATAATCCAGGATACTATTCCTATCAAGTCCATAACTGTGGTGGGCAGAATTCTAAAGATATTCCCCAAAATTCCTGTCCCCTGGTTATTCAATCAAACACTAATCTAGGCACTACCAAGAAAGGACTTTGTAGATGGAATTAAGGTTACTAATCAGGGGACCTTAAAATAGGGAGATGAACCTAGATTATCCAGGTGAGCCCAATGTAATCATATGAATCCTTAAAAGCAGAAAAAGGAGGCCTACAAGTGGAGAGATGTAGCAGAAGAGGAGAGACGGGTTGGAAGGGGAGGTCCGAAAAATCCTAAACATGAGAAGGATTCAACCTGCCTTTGCTGGCTTTGAAGACGGAGGAAGGGAGCCATGAGCCAAGGAATGCAGGCAGATTCTAGAAATTGAGGATGATTCCTGCTGACAGCCAGTAAGAAAAATGGGGTTCTCAGCCCTACAACCGCAAGGAACTAAATTCTGACAACAACCCAAAAGGGTCAGAAAGGAATGCTGCCCTGCCCACACCTTGATTTTGGCCTTGTGAGACTCTAAGCGGAAAATCCAATTTAGCCCTGCTATACCTGTACTTCTGACCCATAGAAGTGTGAGATAATAAGTTCTGTGTAGTTTTAAGACACTCAATCTGTGGTAATTTGTCATGGAAACTAGCACTATAACCTTAGATACTTCTGCAAAGTCCCCCTTACCATGTAACAGGACAGTCAGAGGTTCCAGGGCTTAGGGCCTGGATATCTTTGGGGGGGCCACTCTGCCTGCCACAATATAAGGCAAGTATGTTTCTGAATAAGAAATATTACCAGGGACAAATAGGGGCAGTTCATAATGATAAAGAGGTCAATTTGTTGAAGAGGATCTAACAACTGTACATATTTGTGTACCTAATAACAAAGCTTCACAATATATGTAGAAAATATTAAGGAAAAATGGAAAAATCCATAATTATTGAAAATTAACACTTCTCTCTCAATAACTGATAAAACACATAGAAATTACTAAAACTGTATCAACCAACATGACCTAATTGATACTGATAAAGCATTCCTCCTACAACAGCAGAATACAAATTCCTTTCAAATGCAGCACATGGAATATTCACCAAGACAGACTGAACTCTGGGTCATAAAACAAGACTCAACAAATTTAAAAGGATCAAAATCATACAAAGTAAATCTCTATACACAATGAAATTAAACTAAAAATCAACAACAGAAAGATATCTGGAAAATTCTCAAAATGCTTGCAAATTAAACAACACTATTCTAAATAATCCATAGGTAAAACAAACACAAGGAGAATTTGAAAAATTCCAGATTAAATGAAAGTGGACATACAGCTTACTAAAATTTGTGAGCTCCAACTAAAGCAGTACTTAAGGGAACTTTATAGCATCAAATGTTTTTGTTAGAAAAGATCTAAAGTCAGTGATCTAAGATGCCCCTTAAGACACTAGGAAGAGGGGCACCTGAGTGGTTCAGTTGGTTGGGCATCTGCCTTTGGCTCAGGTGCTCAGCGGGGTGTCTGCTTCTCCCTCTCCCTCTGCCCCTCCCCCTACTTTTGCACCCTCTCCAGCTCCCTCTCTCTCAAATAAATAAATAAAATCCTTTTTAAAAAAAGAAAGTAGGAAAAGAAGGAAATTTTAAAAAGTAAGCAGAAGGAAGGAAATGATAAATACAAGTGCAGAAAAAAAAAATCAATGAATCTAAAACCTGGTTCTTTGAAAAGATCAAGAAAAAGAGTAAATCTGTAGCCAGAGTGATCAGACAAAAATAGTAGACAAAAATCACCAATATCAGAAATGAAAGCAGGGACATTACTACAAATCCTACAAACATTACAGAGATTAGAAGGGGATATTATGAACAACTTTACGCAAGTAAATTTCTTGAAAGAAAGACATTATCAAAGTTCACACAAGAAGAAATACTTTCACATCCCTATATCTATGAAATAAATTAAAATTGTAGTTAAAATCCTTCTCATGAAGAAAATGTCAAGCTCTGAAAAAAACCTATCAAATACATAAAGAAGAAATAGTACCAACTTTGCACAAATTCTTACAGAAAAAGATGGGAGAGGGGTATTTCCCAATTTATTTTATGAGGCCAGCATTACCCTGATACCAAAACCTGATCAAGAAAGAAAACTATAAACCAACACCCTTCATGAACATAGACGCAAAAACCCTTCAAAAATTATCAAACTGGGGTGTCTGGGTGGCTCAGTCATTAAGCGTCTGCCTTCGGCTCAGGTCATGATCCCGGGGTCCTGGGATCGAGCCCTGCATCGGGCTCCTTGCTTGGCGGGGGGCCTGCTTCTCCCTCTCCCACTTCCCCTGCTTGTGTTCCCTCTCTCGCTGTGTCTCTCTGTCAAATAAATAAATAAAAATCTTTTTAAAAAAATTATCAAACTGAATCCAGCAATATATAAAAAGGATATTACAGTATGACCAAGTGTGGTTTAGTCAGGATTGCAAGCTTGGCTTAACATTTGAAACGAATAATGTAATTCACTGTATTAACAGAATGAAAAAAAATGATTATCTCAACAGTTTCAGCAAAAGCATTTGACATAATTCACTACCCATTCAACATAAAAGCTCTAAACAAATTAAGAATAGAAGGGTATCTATGAAAATAATGTTTAATGGTGCAAGACTGAACATTTTCCCTATAGAAACAAGGCAAGTACCTCCACTTCAATACACCTATTCAGCATTGTACTGGAGGTCCTAGCCATAACAATAATACATGAAAAAGAAATGAGAGCAATAAAGAATTGAAAGGAAGGAGTAAATCTGATACTTGCAGACAACATGACTATCTGTGTAGAAAATCCTCACTAATCTACCCCCCAAAAAACCCATTTCCAAATCAAATAAGTGAATTTAGCAAAGTTGCAGGGTACAAAGTAAATGTACAAAAAATATTACTGTTATTTCTTTATGCTAGCAATGAAAAACTGGACACTGAGATTTAAAAAAAAAAAACAACTATCATTTACTGGGGCGCCTGGGTGGCTCAGTCATTGGGCATCTGCCTTCGGCTCAGGTCATGATCCCCGGGTCCTGGGATCGAGCCCCGTGTCGGGCTTCCTGCTCCGTGGGAAGCCTGCTTCCTCCTCTCCCACTCCCCCTGCTTGTGTTCCCTCTCTCGCTGTCTCTGTCAAATAAATAAAATCGTTTTTTAAAAAACCTATCATTTACTGCAACTTTCCTATAAATCTAAAACTATTCTAAAATTAAGTTCATGAAAAAACTGCCACTTACAAACATCATCAAAATATGAAACACTGAAATAAACAAAATATGTGCAAGACTTGTACACTGAAACCTACCAAACACTATCGAGAAAAATTAAAGATCT